TATTTCTACTAAGGTCTGTGAACAAATATTACAATAATAAATCACAATATTACTTCTGACGGTTTATTGCAGACTTCTTTCAGAACAGCGACCGATGAGACGATGACTGCCGTATTGATGCCTCCGCGAAAATTGGGGAAGTTGATTTTAAGCAAACAACCATGAATTGATCGTTCAATCTTCAACTACATTGACACTCCCCGGCAAAAAAGGGATCCAACCCTTTTATCCTTCACGACCAATACACGTCGACTTGGATGCCATTGCGAGATCCTGGGTCACACGGACAGAGCTGAAATGGAAAACAAACAGAAAAGCCAACACACCACAAGCATACCCGCAGCACAATCTCACACATCAATGACGACCTGCGCGTCCAGACAGAGACCTCCTCTTGACATCTTGCAACACAATCGCCACTTACTAGAATGACTCTTGCAGAATGCAACGTGACCATAGCATGACTGTTTGTAGTTGGCCACGTCAATAAAATTGCGTCACCCAATTTGCTTATTTAATCTCATTTTAGCTTCCAACCAATTAACGAAATATGTTATCTAAAATTTGAAGCTGTAATGGCACATCCTTGGATATATTCCTTTTGTTGCTAGTGAACTTTACTGTATATCTATGCAATTGTACAGCTTGAGAATGATATCAAAGAAAAGAGACACGGTTGCTGAACGCCACTTTTTGATTATTGGATTGTTTATTTCTTCGCCGACTATGAAGCTGTTCTCCAGGGTTACTAACCACAGTCTTTGAATAAACAACTGCCTAAATCACCATATCACTTATGATCTCTTTTCTTCAGACTTTTTCGAAACAGCATATAATCGTACCATCATCATCATTATTGTATCCCGCCAAATTGGAGTTCTTTTCGAATCAACAAACCATATGCTGTTCATCAAATTTTTCACTAACACTGACAATCTCCAGTAAAAAGAAGGCATCTACATTTTTTCCTGGTGCGGTAAATGCATGTTGGCTTGATTGTTTACAGGGAATCCTGAAACAACAAGGTCATGGCTGAAATAGAAGGCAAAACTAGGAGACAACACGCAAAAGACATACACAAATTACACCAGTATCACTCTAACTAGCCAATGTTTTTGTAGTACACTCAAGCCTTTTATGCCTGGAGTACCTTGCAGTGACAACAGCTAATTGGAAGTTAACACGTCGAAGTCCTTGATATGATCCTTTACAAAAGATAACAGCAGGTGGTTTATAATTCTTTCAGCTTCTCATAGAAATGTCTCCAGGGATTTGTCTGTCAGACTATTGCATTTGATTGAGTCTCTCCCTTAGCCCACCTCTGTGGCTGGCTTGTGGTGGGTTTAAATGCCACTCAGTGTTCCTCTTCAGCATTTTTCATGAACCTTTGTCTGAGGACGTTGAAAACATCCCCCGGTCACAGTATGGTTGAACATTATATTCGGTGTACCTCCGCGGTTAATAAGCCCTGGTAACAGTGGAATAAACGAACTGGCATTTTGTGTGTAAACATTTCAATTTACATAACCTTAATCTTCAAACAAGTAAATAGGTGACCATATCTCTCTCATAAACTTCCATGCATTTTACCACAAAAGGTCAGAACAAATCCACCCTAACATACTCGAATGGATAGTTTCCTATAAATAATTGTCACACTGGATGGGATGGGCTAGACCGGCATTCTTTCTTTTACACTCCCTATCCAATACTTCTATAGAATGACTTCTGTGAGAGCAGGCTGCTAGCGAATTGGTAGACATTAATCTACGTCAATGTCTAGGTCACTAATATTGGCCGTGGGAAAATATGAACAAGGCTGATTCAACAACCAATCACAGCAAACTTAACGTGGGCAAATATGATTCGCAGATTGATGGCTCTACTTTCGATGGTTACCCGGAACAACCAATCAGAAGCCTGCGTTTGTCTGGTTAACTTCTGAGAAACAACTAATCAGAAGACTGAGTTTGTCTACTTGAATAAGGTATAATAATGTATGTGAAATATATATAAATACGTGCTGATTTCCGTAATAAAACGATCTGTTGATTGGCTCTTGTCTTCTGTTGTTACAGTAACATGGAACGGATCCTTTAGGGATATTGGTGTCTTATTATGATAGTAGTGACTGTTTTATTAACATCCCCCTCACTAAAATGAAAGGTAACACAACTGACATCCCATTGTAAGCCTAACAAGCGCCCAGTCAGTAACTTACCAATAAATACATATCGAATAGAGGTGCTCTGTCTTCTGGAATTACATGATTCAAAGCATCTAACCTATTTGATATCTATTTAGTCCGATGAAAGCCAGCCTTAGCTAAGATGTGGCTGATACTTGATGCAAAGCTAATTACAGAATCGTAATCATCAGAAGATGCTTTGCAATCATTCACATAGAATCGAAAGCGGATGACACCCAAAAAATCATCAGTGCAGAAAGTGTATGCTGTTTTACGTAAAAGAAACAGAGCAGGTTGAAGAGGACATGGCACCAAATGGACGACCTGTCATCCCATGTTCTGACCCCACCATGTGGATAGCCATCAAACTCGAAGAACTTTAAGTGAGCTACACCACACTCAGGCACATTCAGCTGCAAAAGTACCTTTTCTGTATCCACAGTAGTAGCAACTAAAAACTTTTCGAATCTTAACAATGACCCAACTAGTGATCCCATACCATCTGGGCCAATATATATCGTAGATATAATTAAAGGAAACAATTTCATGTTGCGCAAAACAACCGACCACTACAAGTTTATCAGGCTTCCTTGGGTTAAAGACAGGGTGAGGAGGAAGGTACCAATTTCCTAGTCAATTTTTATCAGTCACTCTTTCAACGTAACCTGTTCTTTTATGTTTGTAAATAACGTCTTTATACATATTCTAGAGATCCGAATGTATCACGAACTTCTTTCGCAACTCATAAGTCTTCTAACAGCAGCTTCTCTGTTACAAAGTAGCTATCTATTTTACACCTTCAGGTCAGACCTGTGTGAAATGCCCATTTTCGCACGTACAGGATTCAGATCGATTTTGTGTGCCCCCACCAACAGCAGAAAATGTCATTTCCGATGGAGGCATTCCGAGGAAATGAAAAAACTCATTAAGTCGACGCAAATTACTACAGACAACACACTTTACTGAACACCCACTGCCTTGACAACCCTAAATCATGAATGGTTTTTTCCTACTGTCTCCTCAATTTCAGGATTCGAACACGATGAACTGGCAGACTTGCTTATTGTTTGGCTAACACTAATTTTTATCAACCTTGAAGTATCATCAAACACTGTGTCCAAACCTTCCTCTTCTATACGGGCATTAGTCTCAACTCACATTCTATGAAATCCACTTGGTACGGTTCTGGCAATTAACCGGACACTATTGTTTCGTGATCAATTTTCCATGGAACAACTATTCATAGCTATGGAATTAAGATCGTCTGCGCAATTAAATCGAGAGCGATCGCCTACTGTGTCTTAAGTCTTGTCTGGGCGCGGGGTGCTCCTGAGACTTCAATTACTTTTCCTCAGGAGCTGTAAACGCAGAACACTTAGTGCATTCGGCGTTGGTGAAAACGGAGAGAGGTAGACTCTTGTGGCGACATTCCGAAATACCCTTGAACCAAACTGTCCTCAGAGTGTTTATTAGCTATGTCTTAAAATGCATTACCCCCCCCTTGCGACTAAAGTGGGCTTCAGCAAGCAGCATTCGCTGAACACCCAAAGCATTGGTAGTTTGCTGCACCAAGTACGTTCCTTTGAATTCAATCTGGTTCACGCATCGTATTGTCAAGTACTGAATGTAATGCACTGCATAATTTCTCCCGCAGGAAACAAACAATCAAGCCTTCACACCCAAAGAATGGTGACTACAGTGCAGAGAGAATGATACGCGTGTATAAATACCAGGGAAATTGTGAAACTTCGGTAGTAATATAGCTAGCATATGTCGAGTCAAGATTTGATTGTGTGGAGTGGGAAACAATATGGTTGTGCACCTTTTTGTTAGATGTTCAAATTAGAGACATCATACATGACTCTTGTTTAAAACGATTCGTGTTGGAAAATAGATAACTTCCTAGTACAAAAATATGCAGTATACTGCTGACCGTTTCGTCTTCTCACTTGTCTATACTGTCTAAATGCCTCATTCATAACCGTGTCGAATGCTTTGGATTTTTGCAACACGTGGCACTCGAACCCACAACGCTGAGATATATAGTCTCGTGCTTTACTGACTTAGCTAGCCGGGCGCCTCCAATTAGTCTGTAGGGGACTTTATGGCGAGCTAAATAACAGCACAAGTATGTGAATAAAAATCCAAATTAATGAGAAGATAGTGAGACCGTATATTGTAGAAAATACAGGGACGAGTTATATTAATTAAACGGTTACTTGGATATACAGTTAAAGTCCACGGTTACAAGCTATTAATTTAATCCACAGAAGCGTTCACTGCTGGGGTCATGTCTACTGGTAGAAGCTGTTTAACGGTTGTATAATAGTCTTCGGATGAGGATAAGAGGTTCCTGCAAAATTCCGAAGTATACAAAATGGTTATGAGTGAAGCATGTAGACAGTATAGAAAAGTGAGAAGACGTAGCGACCAACAGTCCTCGGAAGTTATCTATGTTCCAAAATGAATCATTTTAAATAAGATTCATGTATGATATCTCTAATTTCAACATATAACATAAAAGTATACAGTCATATTGTTGCGTACTCTACAGGCTTGATCAACACATCAGAACGAGAATCGTTTCAAGAATGTAGGGAATTTTATTCCCTTTCACTCTGCAGGGAATTTTAACAGTAGATCATCCTTTTGCTCCATTATTGCTTTATGTACTGAATTCCATACATTCTACACGTTAAACACTATTAGGAGAAAATTAGAAATTTCTCTGTCCTGGATATACTAATGAACAAGGTTGTTGGAAATTGAAATACCAGCGCTACTTCCGGATTTTCTGACGCGTGTTGATGTTATGCAGGGTGAGAATCCTGTTGACGTTGATGGTAGGTGGGACAATACTGATATTTTGTAATATCTAGATGTCCATTCTATGTCCTGCGGCAAACGTACTCTTTTGCAGTCAGAGGTATGCATGTTTATAGGGTGAAATATGATAGTAACATCTAGGTTATATCTTTTTTCGCCCCAGTTGCAGATAAATTGAGGTTGAAAGACGGTATATTTGTTCCCAAACCGCGCCGTGATATAGTGGAGGAAACGAAACTTCGAACAAAAACGATTACTGTGAGGATGAATTCTCCTGCTAGATTAGAAAGAACGAATACATCTGTTACCCCAACTGATAAACTGATTACGAATCACTGTGAGTTAGCAAATGGCTTAAGTGTTTCAGACACTTCTGCACTCATGGATGGAACAAAAAACTGCTCATCTACTTGTAGTCCAGTCAGTTCAAACGGTTCCATGCCTCATACCAAACTTGATAATGATGCCGGTCTTGAGTCATGGAATGTTAAACGACAATCAATCCCCTGTGGTGTCTCAAAAACACCGAACCGGAAATCACTGTTCACTAAATTGATCCGCAGGTTGTCCACTCCACGAATCAAAACATCCAAAGGAAAAGGCTCTTTTGTGTCCGTTAAAACGGATGGATCACAATCACAAAGCGATTCTGCTTCAAACGGTCTCAGTCCACAGAAGTCTCGTAAATGGTTTGCCAGGCCTATGTGGAAGTCAACGAAAAATCCTGCATCGCGTGAGTTTGTTATCGTCAATTAAATGTTCCCCTTCATACGTACACTTTACTGTGCTGTGCGAATAAATGAGGGGTGTATTTTTAAAATTGCTGTCGAAGGTATACTAGATAACCAATGAGGATCTGTCTGAAGGTTGCCCTAATACAACAGATTTGTGTCTGACTTGTTAATCAACCTTGAAAGCCAATTAATTCCTAACTCTTGTCACGTTGAAATTTGGTTAGCCGGGTATTGTCGTTAGTCGCAGCAACAAGTGTGGACTAGTAACGAATGAATCATGGGCTTCACAATGTATAATTTAGTATTAGTGCTTGGATACTAGTCAGGTGAAATACTACTAAACAACCGATTTAATATCGACGCCTTTGACAGTAACTTACCTGCCGTGTGGTCAAGTGGTACTATTTAATGGCCAGAATCATGGTGATAGGATTGGAGTGTGACGTCGTAACTTGCAGAGTAGTAATCGATTATCAAGCCCAATGAGTCACAGTACTATGTGAATACCAGTGGTTGCTTATCATGCTGTGTCATAAAAGACAAACAAGAAGTAAACTTGAATAGCGATTAATCATACTACCAGGCACATCAATAATGTAAGGGTTTGTAAAGAATAATTGGAAAAATGTCGGCTTGAATAAAAGTATATTTAATATAGGATCTAGAGTTATGGGTTTTTATGGTTTTCAAAGCCATAAAGATGATGAATTTTATTTTAGCCGTGAATAAGACTCGAATAGTTTGTTAAAAATAGGAAAGTGGAGGCTTGATCATTGCCAAAATAGTTATGTAATCAGAATGTCTCTGACACCAACCGTTAGTAAGTTAGTGTGTTAGTTTTACAATCCTTCTCACCTTAACTGGCTTCATCATCTTACGGGGGGACGTTTTCGGAAATTTTATCATTATTTAGGTTGTCTGGTATTAATTAGGACAGTCTATAAAGTGTAACTGAGCTCCAGAAGTGTAGTGAAACATCTAAATTACATCAAAGCTGCAAACAACTGCAAGTTTTTTAATCAGTTCTAAGCGTATTTTATTAACTGAATATAAGCCCTTTTATGTACTGTAATGGGAAACAACCCTATCATATTATATGATAATCTAGTATTTAAAACAACTTTTTTATCATCATACTCAAGTTTCAACTCTACATCGCTTTTAATAACGAATAAGAAAGTAATAACTAGTCTCGTGTATTTGCGAGTCTCGTAGTCATCTGCTCCCAGTCAAGTATGCTTCTCAGGGAGGATAACTATTAAGTACGAGTTATTTCCTTAACACTTACCTGCCGAAGTTAGCTACTTCAGTTTTTCATTTCTATTTTTCTAGTAGTGACATAGTCCAAGTGTGGTGATTGTTTTACTATGAAATTCATGCTTTCGGCTTGATAACTGTATTTTAACAACAATGGATCAAACACATTATGCGTTCATTTCCTCATGTGACAAACGTTGTTAGCACCAAAAGTGTGTTAACCTTTAACACAGGTACTGTCTGTCTGTTTTCGACATAGAACTTTGCACAAATGTGCGGAAGTTCAAGTCGCCACATTCCGTGTAGCACGCGAAGCAGGAGAAGAAATTAACACAGGTACAATTAATTCCATGACTATGGATCTCTTGATATGAAGACAATATTTGTAGCTGTCAATTTAAAAGTCTTGACAATGTGTCGCGCAAAGTAGTGGGTAGTGATCGCGCCATGTAATCAGAGTTGTTTTCCTGAAATACACACGACTACACACATGAGATTTCTCTCAAGCTGTTTGAGATTAGCAATGCATTCAAGTATGTGCATTGGTTTAAACGCGCTCATGGACATCTTCATCTGCATACCACTTAACCTTAATTTTTTAGTGGATTTTCATTTCACCTTCACTATCCATTACATTAACCCCAAACTTGCCAATTCCAAATTGTCTGTTAATCTTAACAACAACTTGTGTCTGACTTCGTTTTCCTAACTGACTGCAATTTCACTAACTTTGTCCACATACTAATATCAATACAACAAATGAAATTTACTTACTACGCTTTTTGTTACGATCATTAATTGTGATTCATACTGCTGTCCAATTTTATAATCTTTTTTATCTGTTTTCAGAAAGTAGTATAGATTCTCAAAGCTCCTTGGTTAATGTGAATCCCGATTTCCAAATCCAGGATTCGCCATCTGCAGTGGACAACTTATCACAAAGGTTTGATCTAGTCATCCAGGATTTCAGATCTGTCCCAGTCCCTCGTAAGCGGATAATACTACCGAATTCAATGAAATCGGCAATACAAAAACCTCGAAATTCCTCTAACAATGTCTCGGTAAGTTTTCCTGTGGTTTCATATTCTTGTTAGCTAGGTTCAAATGCAGGTCGTGATTTTTCATAGTAGGATTCTATTTATTGATGTTACTTCAAATATTTGCGCTCTCGATATTTTGTCTAAGCTAAGAATATTCAATATCAAGTATGCTATTTCTAAGAAATACATATACCGATTGAATGTTGTCTCACACGAATAGGTGGTAGATAAAAAAAGTTGTAAGTTTCAGCTCGTGGAATTAGTAATAAAGCTTTTATTAGCGTAAGCTGTGTTAAAAGGAAAACTTCGTGTTTTGGTTTTGAGCTACCCTATACGAAAATTTTCAAAACATTCCTGGTACGGAATATTTAACCAAACGTGGTGAACGTCATTGGAATAATAAACTTGTGAAGGACAGTCTCAATAGTTTGAATAGCCTACACACTAGTCAAGTTCTGCTTAACAGTGTATTATGATTAGTCTTCATAGGTTTTGGTCGTAACGTCTCACAAAAATTGTAGTTTTTGAGCTATCACATTACTGTATTAGGTTTATGTTCATTCAGCTTGATTTAACTAGAATCTTAAGTCTTTTTGTATTGCATGACCACAAATTGAATAAAGTGTTGTCATATGGCTTTCAAATTGGTAAATTTTTGAGGCATACTGGTCCTGATACATATTCCTTACCGAAAATTAGTCCTCATACCAGCTGTTGAATTACAGCGCATGTAAATATGTTTAAGGAACTAACAGAATGACAGCCTTCCTGAAAGAAAATTATATCTTGTCTGTGCCGTCATAAAGTAATCATCTAATGAAGAACTTTAATTTCACCACCACTTCTGATTCGTTGAAGTATTCATAGACCTTAAACATTTCCATGTCTTTTGTGAAATACGTTGAATATCCAGTCTCTCTAAGCACAAAACATTTGTATATATCCACTATCAAAAGGCTAGTGCTCTCTATTCACAGTGGAAAAATATACTGATAATTTTCCCCTAGAATCATTCAGTAATCAGTAATATCTAATCACTCTTCAGTGCATTTCATCAAGGATAAATCTTAAAACATAACAGGCAATATATTTTTTGACATGAAAGTTTCACAAAAATGATAAATGTGGGTTTCGCGGCTTCTACGTTACGTTTGAAAACAGCCTATTTTAATCTGCCGTTCACAGTCACCATGCATATAGGGAAGTCGTAAAGTACTGTAGTGATTTCCCGTGTGGTTAACATGAGAAACACTGTGTTTTACCCTCTTCTTATCTCTCCTGTTAAGGATTGTCACATAAATGGATTTTTAACATCTCATACTGTAGTGATAACTGAAACAAAATGAGGACAATATTTAAAACTTTCAAAGAGCCTATTATCTGTAGCTTTTGCTTACAACTATCAGTTAATAACTGTATATGCTTTTAACTGTACCTAAAAGTTTAAATTCGTGAAATGTAATCGTTTTGTGTATTGGGAGAGATTTCAAAGAAGTGGACTCGTGTATTTTAAAGTATTGACTTACATTGTGTAGTCCAACACAGCGAATAAGACTGCATGGAGTTTTTGACAGCCCTGGTTATCTATCTTATCTTTGTATAATGGGAAGTTGATGAACAAAAGCTCTAGTCTACTTACTGAATATGGATCAAATAAATATTTCGTGTTATTGCTGGTGTTGAACACTATGCTTAGTCTTGTCCAGCAGTCCATCGCTTACTTTGTATCATGCTCGTCGTCATCCTTATATAAATTTAAAACATACTACTACTAGATTTTCCATTTCTTTTCGTATAGAAGCTGTTAATAGCCTAAAACTAAACGTCATTAAAAACCAGTGGATTTCTACTACCTCATCCGAACTGATTAATACAAGAAGACTGATTCCCGCGACCTCCGAATATGATGAAGAGCAATAGCTGCTCAAGCGCAAACTAACAAGAATTCTTTGCAACAGCCGTGAATAGTGGTGGGCGACAAAAGCAAGAGATGGAAAAGGCATCGGCGATTAGTAACACCAGACGACTATTTAGGCTTATCAGGGAAACAGGCGGGAAAAGGAAAAGGATAAGTGAAACAATCTCTGAGAAAAACGGCACCATAATTAGCTCTCAGGATAGACGGCTGGAAAGTTGGAAAGAACACTTTGAGGAGCAATGTAATTGAACTACAGCCACGCTCAAGTTACCCAACATCACCATAAATGGGATAAAAACAGGTCGTCCGTTCTTAACTGAGGTTACAAAAGGTATCACTAGTCTGAAACAAGGCAAAGTAGCGGGACCTGTTGGAATGACTTCAGAGGTGTTTAAGGACGGTTATTATTATTTCCTTTAATTCCCAGAGGAACATAAGGATCCAGGCGCACATCTTCATTGCGTTCGGTTCTCTGCCAACGTTTTCACCTAGCTCCACGTCTGCTCACATGCTTTCATCTCCTCTACACATGACCTCCTCCATATCACCCTCACACTGACGACCAACTCGCCGCTTCCCATTCGGGTTCCACTCGGGCGGTGGCCTTGTGTGTGATGTCCCTTGATGGATTGTTTTCTCAGAGTATGGCCAATTTACCTCCATTTCTTCCTGCATATTTGTTGCACAGTTGTTTCCTGCCAGTTTCGTTCGCTCATTGCCAGATATCGATCTCTGTTGTTGATCTTTTTCGGCCATCTCCTGATCTTGAGTAGTATTGAGGAAAGACAGCTGCAGATGAAGGTCTGTGGTTTGTTCAAAGTACCCTTTGTGAGGTGGCGCAAAGTCTCTGATCCGCATAGTAAGTAGCACTGACTTCACATCGGAGTTGAAAATCCGTATCTTATTTTTTATGCTGAGGAGAGTGCTGTTGATTTCCACACAGACTTGAGGAGAATGTAAGCTTGCCTTCCTTTCCTGATCCTCACTTTGATATCCTCGTCAGTTCTGCCTGTAGTCGAAGTGATGCTTCCCAGGTAGGTAGGTAAAGGAGGTTATCTCTTTCAGATTTCTCCCATATATGTTGATTATTGTCTGTTGTTGTTGCTGTTGGTCAGGAATCTTCATCACCTCTGTCTTCTCTATGTTTACCTGAAGCCCTATCTTCTCTGGATGCTTTTTCTGCCAACTTGTTGCTTTCCACTTGCATATCTTCCAATTCGTAGGAAATCAGACATATCATCGGCGAAATCCAGATCCTCTAAGTTTTTTGTATGGGTCCACTTTATGCCTGTCCCATCGCTGCCCGCTATCTAACCAGTCTACTGCAATCAGGAAGATCATAGGAGATAGTAGTGGGCAGCCTTGTCTTACTGCCATCTTCACTTAGAAGGATTCTGTGAGTTTCCTATTGTGGATTACTTGGCATGCAGCATCATCGGACAACTGCTGGAGGAGGTCTATAATTGTTGGTGACACCCCGTAGTGACAAAGTAGTTCCCAAATCACCTCTCAATTGACGCTGTCGAGGGCCTTTTCAAAGTCAATAAAGTTGAGGCAGAGAGAAGTGACTGTCATTCCAAGCTCTGTTCAATGTTGATCCGTAGTGTTGCGATTTCATCGATGCATGATTTGTTTATCCTAAATCCAGACTGTTTCGGTCGAAGTTTTTCATCCAGGGCGTGTTTGATTCTCTCTCGAGGATGGTGCGGCTTAGTATTTTGCTTGGGATAGACAGTAGCATAATACCGCACCAATTATTGCCAACTCTTTGGCAGTTTGACTATGTAACCTTCCAATCAGCAGGTACCTTGTCCTCTTTCCACACCTCCAGTAGTGGTGTCATCAAGTCTGCTGATGTCTCTGGGTTCGTTTTCAGTGCCTCTGCGGGGATTCCGTCTGCTCCTACTGCTTTTCCAGTTTTTGGAATCTTCATGACCTTCAGGATTTCTGCTTTCGTCACAGGTTCAGTATCCACTGGTAGTTCTGCTTCAGCTGTTGGTATTATTGGGCGCGGTGTAGGTGGCGGTCGATTTAGAAATCTTTTGAAGTGTTCAGCCCAGTGTTTCCTTTGCTCCACCTCTTTGGTGACTGATTTTCCATTGTCATCCTTCGCTGGCTTAATTTGTGTTGGTCTTTGCCCCTATAGGAACCTAGTTGTTTGTTAGAGTGTTGTGAGGTCTCCTTCGCCTGCAGCTTGTTCTGCTTCACTTTCCATAGATTCCTAATATTGTCTTTTTTCTTCCCTGGCACTTTTCTTCACTCTTTTGTTCAGTGTGTATTAGCTTGCATCCAACTCCTGTTTTTGTTGCTCGTCGATGCACCGGATAATCTTTTGTTTCACCATCCTTCTCTCTTCTATTAGTCTCCATGAGCCAATATTTGTCCTATCCCTTTTTTTCACCTAGAGCGTTCATGCGTGTTTGACTACACACCGCTTTCAGGTTGTCCCAGTGCTTTTCAACGCCAACCTCTTCGCTAGTGGTGATTTGTTTCTCGTTTTTTCCTTGTGTTTGCAGTGAAGATGTCCTTTGTATCCTAATCCTTCAGTTTTTGAGTATTGAACTTGGCTTGTGGTCTATCTGCAGCTCCTGTTTCTTTGAAAGCCTTTAATTTGATTTGGAGTGTTCCTCGTACGAGATAGTGGTCTGGTGGTGGAAAACACCCATATTGACATTAGAAAGAAGAGAACACGAAGTTCAGCAAGGATATCTTTTCGGCGATTTCATTTTCGAAAGCTGTACAGTCGTACATCGCATCTTAAGTTGAAAATTATTATTTCAGTTTTGTTCCCATACTCATTTTCTATACACCTGTAATTCGTCGTAACCCTGTGTAATTTTTGTTTCTAAGGTTCTTTTAATCTATATTCCCATCTCCTAACTCCCATCTCAAGTTGAAAAATTATTATTTCGATTTTGTTTCCATGCTCATTTTTAAACACTTGTTATCCGTTCTAATCCCGTGTAATTTTGTTTCTAACGCCTCTCGTAAACCATATCTAGTTAAAAATAATTATCACCTTTTATTCGCCGTCGTTATTATGGGGAATCAAACAAGAATTGTCTCGATGTAAAATTGTGTATTTAAATGCTATTGTATAGCTTTTGAAAATGAAATCGCCGAAAAGATATCTTTGCTGAACTTCGTGTTCTCTTCTTTTAATAGGAGTCTAGGCCGACTTCTGTTCCTCTCCTTACCTTTGTGTCCAGTAAGTTGCGTCTCCACTTCCTTGAGATTAAGATGAATTCAATGTAGTTTGGTGGAGACAGTTTACTGTCTGCGTTAACTAAGGGGTTAGGCAGCGTCGGGGGATCATAGGAAGTCCCGTCGGGTTGGTGTAAGTCATTGACTATTCCGATATACAAGAAGGGAGACGAGTCTTCCTGTGATAATCACAGGGGATTAGCTTGGCTAATATGGTATCTAAAGCGGTATTCGATTCCGTTTGACCGTGCGTTACTACGGCGATGTTTGTCTGTGACGTGAACGCTGAGAAAATAAATCACACTGATCAAGGCACTCTACTCGCTAGCTTATCAATACTGCATCACTGTGTGATAATTAAAATAAACTTATGTAATATGAAATTACATTTTACCATAGTTCCCAAGTTCTACATTTACATTATTGATACTATTCTTTTTGCCTAACACTTCGGTTTATTATCTGTCTTTTGGACTTCCCTTTACTATTCTCTTGTTTGATGTGCTACATGGAGCGTGGCAGCTTGAATTTCTGCACGTCTATGCAAAGTTCTATGTTGAAACCAGTCAGTTCTTTTCATATGTTATCAAAATCGTTGTATATATATATATATATATATATGCAACATCCATCGTCTTGCATTTATTTGAGATTCGAGTTTGATTCTCTAGGTAACCGTTGTTTTAATATCCAATTAACATATCTGATAAATTTGATATGTATTAAGGAAACTAGTAACTTTTGGGACACATTTACAGGAGCAGATGTTCATTGTCTTGAAAAGTAAATTCGCCTATTTTACTTTTGTAAACATTTATTCTTTATTGTTTAATCCTGTAGACTCAAGACACATCTGCTGAATCTAATGTATTTGCTTCTGTGCAATCTAAATGTAAGTTAATTATCTCACTTATAACATATTTTCACTCTTAATAAGAACATAAATATGAATTTCTAACTGTACTCTGTGAATTCGATATGATGTTAATACTATTTAGTAAGGAGTCGACACAGCATTTATCTGAACATCACAGCAACACTCATCCTGAAAACGTGTGTTATCATATCCATTCTTATATGGAGAAAGCAGTAAAGACAGTCAGTGACGCACATCCAAAGTTAAGTGGAAGCCAGTGGATCTGCCGTTCCATCCGAACACATCTGTGCTGAAAATCTAGTCCCGACATGGCGTGAACATGACATATAGTTATAATTGGTTAGACTCGAACTGAATGGAAACCTTAATAGCAGTCTCTACAAGTGGTTTGTGACGAGTGCGATGAAATAAAGGAGAACTGAATAATACCGATCAACCACTTAGGCTTATTAGGGAGGTTAATTATGTTGAGTGTGCGTCGGTGGCATAGCGGTTAGGACGCTCGCCGACCATGCACATGGTCCGGGGTTCGATTCCCGGCCACCGACGCACCCCTTTACCTCGCTAAATCAGAAATAATGCTGGTAAAGAGGAAAGGTTGGGCATGAGGCTAGCAACCCCATCCTGTAAAACAAACACTGCTAAAGAATCCTGAAGCCCAATGTTCCAGTGGGAACGTGAAGGAAAGAAAAAAAATTATGTTGAGTGAATCTATTCCCTAGAAGCATGCAAATTTTTAATACTAAACACTTTTAGCAGCAGTTCGTCTGGTGTACAGCTACACCAATATTGCTCTCACCATTCAGTTTCACTCTGAGTGCGTTGTGAATGTCGGTCCCCCAACTCAGGCTCAAGTTGCAGAAGTTTTGTAATTTGATTCCAAAAGTGTTTGAGGTGTTTAGTAAAGGTCTATTAAGTGGATTAAGCTAATTACTGGTTGGCGCATAAGAATTCTGGGTATTTTCATCAAACAGTCAAAAATTGTTAACTATTCATGTCTTGAGTAAAGACGTCCACTGATGTTTTCCAGGAATGTTCAATATCATCATTATTGTTTGAATTCATATTAGGTGTTAGTAATAAAGACAGATTTGTTTGACATAAGTACTGAAGTTTCTTTTTTTACCAAGGCAGCAGTACACAGACTACATAATTTGTTGTTTTGGTGACGATACCGGCTAAATTCAGGGATTTCTACAAATCTTGGGCAGGATTCAGACAAAATTGACACGCGTTCAGCCATCTGTCAAACGTAAGATGGGCTGATTTGTGCATAAGAGGGAAAGTGGTTACACAGATTGAACACTTCAGTGATCTGGATATTGCTTAGACCTTAACAAAGTGGTTTATCACAAAATCTCAGCATTGGATTTCCGCTTACTATTGTGATATGATTTAAAAATTATAGTTGGGAAGTGTTTACTAAATAAATTCAAATCAATTCTAGTGACACAATTGTATTCATCCGGTGTCGTTTTCCAGTTTCGGAACATTCACCCTATTTCACACTAATTCTTTTTTTTTCACTTCATATGTTTTTTTGGTATGGTGTGTTAAAAAGTATCATGCTGAATGAATACACTTCTGTGTGAGACCTTTTACTTTGATTTATATGTCAGTACACATTTAAACTAATGTTCATTTATTTCAGGTGGCAAATTTGACTATGCTATGATCAGTATCCTATAGGTTATACTGAAGTTATTTATTTACAATGTGAAATAGTACATTCGTTTAGAGTTTTGCTTTCACTTTCCACTTAAATCTTTGACTATTCAGAACTAAAAACAATCTTAACAATAAAAGTGAAACTAACATTTCAACACGTAAATGAGTGTAATAAAACTGATCAGGTCATCAGATTAATATACTGAGGCCTTTTAAACTCAAGGGAATATTAATTTGAATCATTTCTTGAATAATCAAGGTGGAAAAGGAATCATTGGTTAGAAAAGTTAACCTAACAACTATTTCATATATTTTATTATTTAAAAAAAACACCTGTACTTTCAATTCTCACTTATTCTTTTGCCTCTTTTATTGTCTTGTTAGTTCATAATGGTAACACCCATACCAAGGTCGAGGCATCAACTAACAGCAATCCATCACTTAATACATGTTGCCGCTCGTATGAATCAAAGAATGACACAGATAATTTCTTAAATGCAGTTTGCAGTTCACCCCAAACTACCAACATATTGCGTTGTAATAGTATTCGTTCTGCTGGCAGTAAAATGCACAGTTGTGAAAAGGACAATGAAGTACATGCTCTACATCAATCAGATACATTAATCTCTCAGTCATATGCAAAAACCTCACAGTGTACACCATCCAACTATCCTGTATCTCCTTTAACAGCGTGTAAGTCCTTTGTATAGGCCTATCTTGTTTACAAATACTCTGTGGTAATTGGTATTTGTATTTCTTCCTTATATTGTAAACATTGATTGTATTTTGCCTATGGCATTTAACTGTTCTGTTTTTATTTCTATTGGAATTTTCCCTCTTTTAGACACTCCAAGTTATTTAAATGTATCTTTAGCTGCATTTGGTTACACTGGATATGGTTCGACATCAAAGTCAGCTTATAATCTAATTCACACGGGAAAATGTCAAGCAGCTGATAAAAATGACTCAGGAGGTAACAATAATTTACCTGTACTATTTATCGTTGTGAAATTTCCTTTATAGGTATTAAACTTGAAAGTGTTAATTCGATCACTTCAAATTCGAATCTCAAATTGTCTAAAGAGAATGATTTAGACTGCTCGTTGCATACTGAAGAAAAGGAGTATGAAAGTCCAGTAGAACTGAATGATTCCAGAATATCGTGCAGTCAAACTGAAGTATGTTTATTAATTCCTGCTATACGTAATATGGTTTCATTGTTATCTGTTTCAATCAATGCTTGATGAAGTTCATTATTCGTTTATTTTAATTTTATTCCTTTGCTTTCCCAGTAGAAAATAGGGCTCTAAGCGTGCACTTCCAAGTTCCAATAGCAGTGGTTTTTCTTTATACAGAGTGAGGTTGCTAGCCTTACATCCAACCTTCCCTCCTTGTTGGGCTTGCGACCGGCTAGGGGAGGTAAAAGTGTGTACCGGCCGGGATTTGAAACCCTGAACACGTGCCTTTCGTTGGTGACAACTTTACCCCTGAACCACTGATGCACAAAGGGAGACGGGTGTCGAGTGATTGCTCCACAAGATGGTACTGCTATAACAGAAACCGATAACCCCTTTTGTTCGACTTTTTTCTTTCACGTAGTATCCTGGATCTTTCTACATAGACTTAGGGGTTTACCTTCGAGTGAAATATACTAGTAATTTACTTGTTTATCATAATTATGACTGTCAAACTGTTCATTTGCGTATTTGTTTCCGAAACAAATTCACCTTTGAGCTGAACTGACAGGGTAACAATATGATCACTTTTGTTGTTATTGTTAGATTTTAGTGTTACCTCATGTTACTTCTCGTATCAGAACAATGCAGCTTTGGGCTGTTATATGGTAAGTTGATATGATAAGTTGTATTGTAACAATAGAAGACAGGGAGCAAGCAACAGATCGTTTATTTAAGAAATCAACACATATTTATAGATTTTCTTGTACATTACTATATATTATTGTAAGCAAACAAACTTACTTACTTAACTTTACTTCGGCTATCTCCTACGGGAGGATGAGCCGGCTTCATGAACTCATGAAGTTTCATGGGAATTAGGTACGAGTGATGTCCCCAGCATCGCTCGGCCTTTTGTTTGAGAGTGCAGCTCTAGCCTTTACACAACCAAGTGTGACCTACAAGGCAGTAGGAGTGGAGTAGGGAGTCCACTATCCATTGGCAGCCGGTGACCAGAGTCCGGTTCATACGCCTTTTTGAATGGGGCCAGACATCCAGGGCATCCAATAAGCCCTTTGTCCATACGTCTGCCGGTCAGCTCCAGTGAGCTTCATACGCCAGTCGTTGGAGGTTTGGAATCAGGGTTTAGCCATCTCCCCTAGACTGTCATCCAATGGACAGTCAACCCGGTGAAGAGCGCCGGGCAACCGCTTTTGCTCTCTCACTTCGAAGAAAAACATCTCCACGTAAAGGCAGTGAGTAGGACTTTCTCAGGAGAGGCTATGTAACACGCCCGGTCATATGGGAGCATTTTAAGAGGTGTGCGGAGGGGTGGCCAACCCGCAGCGCAGGGCACCCAACCCCGATCATCCTGAGGCTGTGGAGGCTACAAACAGTCCTGACTGCTGGTTTCTCTCTGGACGTTAATCTTTCATCTCTTTGTGGCCGTTTAATGAAGTTCAGATTATCTATCTACAAACTGTATCCGCCTACTCAAAATCTGCTGTGATTGGCTGTTGTGTCAGTCTTTGTTCTTATTTTTCTCATGACCCAATATTGGCGACGTAAACATTGACGTAAATTAATGTCTACCAATTTTTGCTAGCAGCCAACTCTCACCATAGTATAATTAGTAAAAATTAATACACATAATTTACATTTTGAGTATGTCATCTGCTCATAATACTCAAGAAGTTTGTTTGGTCTTGTTTTTCATTTAGTCTGGTTACGATGATGCCCCGGTTGATAGTGTGGAAGGTGGTGTGAAACTAAGAAGAAAGCGGGTATGTATGTGACAACTTTTCTAAAGTTTTTGTGAGTGAATTCTAGTTGCTTTTACTCTCATGAATTCAAGCTTTTATCCTGTGTCTCTTTTGCTTATGCGGCCGATTTCCAACAAGGACCTAAGACTGCATACCACACTTATTTGGTTCGTTACACCTTGGTGATGTGATAAGCCTGTTACATTTTTGCTCACGGAGGCCTTTGAAGTGAAGATAGGAGTAAGACGTAGTTGCCTGCTATAACTGATTATTTTGACAATTGTGTTGGATTGGATCAGGTGAAAGTCCGTAGGGATCGAGAAGATGGAATGACAAATACATCCTAGGAGGTCTGGATTCTGTAGATGATGCTTGTCTCGTGTTTCACCAACTCGAGCCTAAGTTAGTATGTGCTTTATCCAGTGGACATGTCTAATAGGGATTTTGTCTAAATCTATCGATTAGTTGTATAACACACCATTTTTGCATAATATATAATATTTGACAGTAACTACAAAATGACGTCAGCCTGAAATTCACCACCAACCATTCCTTACTACAAATAGCTCAAAGATGACTGTCAACTGGAATCCAGTTAAGCAGTATCCCTTCTGCCGTAGTGATTCATAATTCATTTTCGCGTATGGGGTCATGAAGTTGGCTGTTAGTCTCAGAAACAGTAGGTATCAATTGCGTAATCTCATCATCCTTGTCGAATACAGTTGAGCATGTAACTACGGTTGGGGCCAATATATCTCACAAATCTAGAATTCGTACATGACACGGAAAGTCATGTAAGCCAGTTTCACATAGAATGGGAATGTTGGAGGCTTCGACGAATAGGTTATGAAGTGGGGTTTCAAGAAATATGCGTGATACAGTTTAACAAAATCTTGGACATCATTCGAAGACCAAAAAAACAGAAAAGTAAAGAAATAAGGAGTTGTGAAGGCAGTCAAAGTGAATGTTGATGGTTGTTAAAAAATACCCAATTACTTACTAGTATGTAAGTGGCTGAACCTGTTTTCTTTACATTTCTATACATCCATATTTATGCCACTTAACATCATCATATTTTTTAATGTGTATTTGTAGACAACTAGCTGCAATGCCAGTGGTGATGATAAACAGCATTGGAATCGTTCTTCACTCATCATGTTAGCAGTAGCTCATGCTAGTCCTCGCAGTCGTGTTGTAACACCATCGACAGTTACGAACAAACCATTTTTTTCAAGTCTTTCAGACGGTAATCATATGGACGAAGAAAAAGCAGAGATTGTAGACAATCAAAATGACTCACCACCACAGTGTCAAACAGAAACAGGTAGTTAATTCTTTCTTTTTAATGACATTTTTCGTTTCCCTTTTTGTTTTATAATCGTCTAAATGATTTATATGATCAAATGGTTCCACAAACATTGTGCACCGTGTAGAAAGTATACACATGCGATAATTATATTATCAGTGAAATTGAAATAAGTAATTCCAATGTTTCGTTTGGCAAACTGGGAATATTAGTAAACATCGAAATTTCTTATTTTTTTCATTCTTAATATAAGTAGTAGTTATTCAAGATTCTTTAAGTATTATTTATGATTTATGACTCCGACAACACATCGAGTGGTCGTTGTCCTTTAAGCCCAAATGAAACTATTAGATCATTAAAATTATGTCTTTGTTCAGTGCTGTTTACATTCAGAGGGCATCTTTTTCTTCAAACAGACATTGCTATAGGTTCACCAGTGTCTCTGTTAACAGTCAATCTATTCATCCACTCATCAGAAATAATTGAAAATATGATATGCTCTAATCCCCTGAGAATCTGGCTAAGATTCTTAGATGACACTGTTATCATTGTTGAACGCGATGCCTTGCATAAACGTTTTCATTTGATAAACAACGTATCAAATAGTGTCAATTTGACTGCGATTCACATGGTTTGACTGAAAGATAACTAAATGATGGTGAATTAAAGATAAATGTCTTCTGGAAGCTAACACATTGTATCAGATACCTGATTGTAACTCGGCACACCTCTTTACCATCAAAGGAACGGTCGCTACGAATCTGATCAAGATCTAAGCGTCTACTTACTGAGAAGAATAAAAAAAACAGAGAATTAAAATTGCTTTAGCCTACCCTTGAATCAAATAGTTATCCGAAAAGTGAGGCTGTGAGTGAATCAAAGCATCCTGCTGAGATTTGGGTAAGTCCCATATTGGTTCCTTATCGCAGAAAAGACGTCGGACTTAAAAAAGGCGAATCCGTAACATTCATGCATGACATAAGACTGTATTTTCGTGCAACGAACACTTTATGCTCCTTACTGGTAAAGATTAAGGATGGGATAATAGAAGAAAACTAGCAAAGTTGCATAAATTAAATTAAATGTGAAGATTGTGATGCTGTATGTGTAAGAGAAACTTTCAGACAGGGTTAATTTAGGAGTAAGAGCCATGAACGGTGCCTTAAATTAGTTCCAAACAGATTCGAAAATAGAAAATTAATTGCCGATTACACTACAATCGATAAAGACAGGACACGAGATCGATTTTGATAGGTAGAAAGTTCCAAAGAAAGGTTTTGCTCCATATAAAGAATGACTGATATCAGAAGTCTTATTTATATGAGTGAATCCCAAAAGAGTGAACAGATGTCGCGGTATAGTGTTAGCTGCCTGTTTTCTTATGCTTAATTTTTTACCCTGTGTATCATTTAAAGTAACATATATTCCTAAGGTAAGTGTAGAATTTCAGCACTATGGTAGAATGTAATTCCATACTAGATAAGTTTATGTTATATAACACAGGGATGCAATTAGTATTGATGACTGGATGACGTTTTGAGCACAGTTTATTGTGAATGTACATTGATATGATTATGAGGTATAAATTATGCTCGAAACGTAATCCAGTTATCAATCAATCCTGTGTCACTGTGTGTTACATAAAATAAACTTATCTAATAAGTTAAATGTATTATATTTAGATCAATATTTCTCACTATCAGTGTCTGTAGTCGCAACTTTAATTGCTACGCTAATGACTTAGAATTTCAACCAACATTATTATCATATCATTTGTGATATGAGATTCTTCATCCACACCTATTATTGTATGTGCATCACGTACACATTTTCTGAAAGATACAAATCGTTTTACTACATGTCATGTCACCATGACATTCATCCTAACATTTTCATTCAAGTCACAATCCACCAATTAAGTTCTAATTACATGCCCAGACATCGTCGAAGCATCTGCACAAAAAGCTAACATGTCAACTTGAAACCGAGCACTTTGGTCCAATCAATCGACGGCAGAATCTAAAATTGAATTAAATAATTAATATGACCCGTTGCACAAGAGGTGGCTCTCGTGGCCCCAGTGGTCTAGTGGGTAACGCTTTGGCGTTTGAAACTATGGGCACTGGGTTCGAGCCTCGGCGAGAACATTATCACCCACTGGGGAGTGCAGTTGCATCCGGATGACGTGTCCCAAATAGGACGAAATGCGCATCCTGCATTCCACTGTTAGTCACCATTCACCAATTAAATTTTCATTCAAGATCAATATAAAAAGTTCACACCCTGTTTACAGGGTGTTATTTATTTATTGAATTATCCGATCGAATCTTAATTAAAGTCCGTATATATATATATATGTTTATTTCTGTTTTGCTTCTACTTGATGTTAATGACTTTTCATGACACGATTAACACAAGGATTCTAAATACAAGATGTACTCTTTGTAAATGTACCCTTGATATTTCAGTTTTGAATAGTTTCCCTTAAAATGTTCGGAGCAGTTAGTTAGCCTAACGAAACGTTGAAATTGTTTGTTTTAGTTTCGCCGAGAATTATACAAATATAATTTGTGTATAAATGATTGTGTTTAATTACTAAAATTTGAGGAATTGATTTTTAATTAGTCAATCGCATATCTCAAACCTGTTTCCATCTATTAACATCTATGTAACCATTTGTCCTCATGAATCACGACAAATTAACTTTTATTTATTACCTGCTTCCTGTTCGTGTCATTTTGTAAAATATCCGACTGTTAACCATCACAATACCTAATAACTTTTCAATTTTAACTGTCTTATCAGATTGAGTTTTAAACTTCTACAAAGCACATAGTTAATTTCTTACGTGTACCTCGGATTTACGAGAGTGGCTCAGCGTGATACGTTATCAACAAAACATTCCTTAGAATTAATGGGTGAATTAATGGTTTGATATCCTTGAATGCACTATAATCGATAAATCATTTTATATCGACACTTGTATTTCTATCCAGGAATAAGATATAAGTCTTTGTTTCTCCACTAATTTATATATATAAGGATAGGATTTCCATCCGTAACCCGATTATTTAAAGTTAAGTGTGTAGTAGTAGCTAATGATGATGTTGTGCTTTGAAACCCCGTTATTTGTTTTTGTTTAGATTACGTGTGTTTCATTGTTGGGAAAAGAACTTCGTTTTTTATGAGACTCCTGTCGGCAGTAGTTAAAATGAGTGTCTGGTAGATAGTCCCTACCTAAATATTCAGTTATCTTACCACTAGTAGCATAGTTTGTTAGTGTAACTGTGAAGAGGCTGTGCTCAGATATCTCAAACTTGAATATTTATCTTTAATTGTTTTGACAGTGTTCACAGTTTGCAATTTGCTTCCAATAGAGATATGCTTATATTACCTTACTAGTTGGTATTGTAACTTATTTTGTAGCTGATCGGTCTCCCAAAAATATCCCTGACTGTCCATCCTCAACCACTGAATATCCAAAAGATAATCTATCCCAAAGTGGTAGTAGTCCTTGTCTGAGAAAAATTTCAATCAACCCGAAGTGAAAATAGATGGGAATTATTATCTCGAACAAGTAGATCAAACGGAAAGGGAATTATTACATAAAGTTTTTGAAATAGAGAAGGACCTTAATGCCGACCATAAAATGGATGATGAAGGTATGTTACAGTGTTGTCATCTTTTGATTCGGTATATTTTGCTGTCACTTATAGTTGTTTAATATTTTATCTAAGTCTGTGATAAGGACGAGACACATCCGTTATTAATAGAATGTTGAACTATTATGGATGAAATGAATTTTGACAAAGTCTCACAGTGATTAGTTATTGTTGCCTATTCCTTGCAGGATAAATTATCAGAAGTTGTTCACAGGCCGAGTAACTGCAGTATGCGCTGATGTATAAAAATCACTTGTGTTAGAATAGCACCGTTTTGCAATAATAACTCAGTGTTACTCAATAAAGTATTATAAAGCAACTTGTTTTACAGGGATATGCAACAAGCGAAACAAACTTCTGTAGTATCTCAAACACAGAATTAAAGATATTTCTTTGCTTTTTGAGCGCTTACCATACTAGTCATTTTGTGAAACAGGAAAATCTCGACTCATAAGTTTCAGTAACGCAGAAGGTTACTTGTATATGAGGTAGTGTTTGACCATTGGTTTGAGTCATATAAGGAGAGATATAGGTGAGAGACAGGCAACAGACCGTCTATTGAGGAAATCAAGATATATTTATACATTTTTATGGGCATTATTATTCGTAATTATTAACAGGGAAACAGCGTCTTCTGATTGGTTGTTCTCTCGCTGGAAGTTAGTCTGTCATCGCTTTGTGGCCATTTTTTGAAGGTCATACCATACATATGCCAATCGTATCCGCCCACGCAAAGTCTTTGTTCTTGTTTTTCTCATGACCAAGATTTGGGATGTAAGTTACTGCCTACTAATTTTGGCTAGAAGATAGCTCTCACCACATAGATACTTGCATGATGTCTTCAAAACGCTGCAAATCAATGACTCGAAATCGTTTGTAACGCTGCAGATTTATTCGGTCTTTATGAATCCACAGACCCACTAAATTTCCATCATTCTCCATATAATAATTTTTTCCTCCCATACAACTATGATTTTTTATAGGTTCTTTGCATTTCTTCCGCCATTTTTGTGTTATTTTATGAATGAATTTTAGCAACTTTAATTGGTGCACTTTTGTGCAAAGTTCAATATTGAAAATTTATTTCAGTTTTATATATAAATGACTAACATTTGTCTTGAATTTTATCAACAATACTACTTTTATAGTTTCTGGCCTCCTGCGCACTGCTTGTGGTCAAACAAAACTTCTCATTTCTGAAAAGTTTGCCCAATTTCGTGGTTTGTGTCATCAGAATTTGTCATGGGAAAAATCGAAAATTGATGGAACTACTGATTGTGTGAATGATTCTAATACTTTAGTCACTTTAATAAGTGATTTGGACGGTTTTTGGGCAATGGTTTCTCTTCAAGTGGATGAGGTTCGTAATCTCTTCAAGCAAGTGGATTGTTTGCGTTCTAATCAATGGAAGATGACGAAAACTCCATTATCAAATGAGAACTCCGCTATTTCCCCAGGAAATCAAAAGGTATATTTTTCTACCTGTTTATGTTTTCATTCACTATTTAAATCATTCCACTCTGTGATATCAGGAAAATGTTTTAACTGGTAATGTATTTCTGTAAACTCAAACAATGATTCTTTTTGTATTAATACGTTTTTTTACATTATTCCTAAAGGTTATTTAGTTTGAATGAAATGCCTTCATCCTAAATTTTATTTTGTTAAGATTAGCCATATTTGCATTATCAGTAAAATAAACACTGGTGTTCATTTTGGCATCGACGTTCATTCCTGTATTACATTATTTGTGCAGAACATAATTAAGCAAAACTTTATCTTTTCCGGTTTATTATTATTATTGTTCCCTTGGGTTCCTAGTGCAACATAGGGCTTCAACTGCACATCCCCACTTGCTTCTGTCTTCTGCTGTACTTTTCACCTGCATCCATGTTAGTCCATACTGTTTCAACTCCTCTTCACACGATCTTCTCCATGTCACCCATGGACGTCTCACTCGCCGCTTCCCTTTCGGCCTGGTTCCACTCGAGGAATGGCCTGGCTCGCGAGCGATGTCACCCACGGGCCTCCTCGGCGAGTGTCCAATCCATCTCCACTTTCTCCTGCATATTTGTTGGTTAGCGATTGGTTCTTGTTTTGTTTATTCATCGCCAGAGTTTCGTGTTGGTGATTCTTTCCGGCCCGGCCATCTGATTGATCTTCAGTATAGAGCCAGCGAAGGCAGTTGTTGGTTGATAAAGGTCTGCGACAGGCTGTTGGAAATATTCTTTGTGACCCGCCCGCCAAGTTTCTGATCCGTTCCGTATAGAAGAACTGACTGACTTGACGTTTGTATTGAAAATCCGACGGAATTTCGTTGTTGATGGTGGCTGAGTGACGATGATTTCCAGATTGGTTTCAGGTTGATGAATGTGTTTCTCGTTCGTCTTCCCGATTCTCGCTCGATCTGACATCCTCGTCCGTTCCGACTACCTGTAGTTGAGACAATGCTCCCTGGATGATAAGTGAATGAAGTAGCCTGTTTCAAATCCCTCCCGTTGATGGTGATTGGCGCTGGATGTTGCTGTCGTTGGTTGGTTATTTTCATAACTTCCATCTTGTCTATGTTCACCTGGAGTCCTGTCTTCACTACCTGCTTCTTCGACCAGTTTGTCGGTTTTCGCTTGTAAGTCTTCGATTTTGTGTGACATCTTTTCCAGTTTGGTAGAAATATATATCTATTAATTCATAGAACCTGGCTAACCTCACTGGCCCAACATTCCCTGTTTCTTTCGGTTAACTAGATGAGATCTAAAAGTGCATAAGGTGGGAATTAAACCTGGACTGTGTATGTTTTACTGATTAGCATTCTATTTTTCTAAATCATCAACTCAGAATATCCTGATAATGACATCGCTAAATGTTTCTGGTCTGTTTTCAGTAGAATTGTCATTTTCATTTTTCGCGATATGTCCATTATACTTGGTAAATTTTCTTCCTTACAGGTTTTTCAAACGCACATTTAACTGTCTTTTGCTTTTCTTCTCCTTCTCTCTCTCTCAGGGAAATCGAAGAGTAGTCAAGTCTAGTGTAAATAAGAAAAATGATACTGTTGCCAGGCAACAAGCTCGTCAGCGCCTTGAACAAGCTAAACGTAATATGCAGCTGCTGAATTCAAACAGCTCATCTGAGAACCCGGTGAAACCAAACCTTTATATTGTATAGATGAGATTTGAAAAACAAAATTATTAATTTTACCAATGATTACATCGATTTTACTAGTAAATTATCTTTTTTTGCTGAAGTCAATTATTGTTACAACGTTATATATATATATATATATATATATATATATATATATATATATATATATATATATATACTTTTCCCAAAGAGATATTTACACAATCTTTTTTTATTGCTGGGTTTGTTTATCGTCGTTGAGCTCCCAGTTATTTTATTTTATAATAAAGAAAGAAAGAAGGACAGTATTGAATGGTTTCCACCAAAAAACCTATTTGTCATCATTTTTGATTTTTGTGGGTAAAAAAGTGTCTGTTTCACTTTGCGTGCTATCAATTTGTTTGTTTGTTTTCTCACTGTATCTGTCTCTCTCCCTCTCTCCTATTTTGTAACGCTTTCATAGTATAAAAAGAAAAGAAGAGTTTTTATTTGAATTTATTATCAACTTTTGTTTTTATACTACTGTTTGTTCGTTTGTTTTCTATGTTTCTAAATGAATAAATGAATGAAACTTGAGCATTTCAAAAATGTATTTTATGTTCATTTAGAACAAAATATATCAACACATGCTGCAGGTTTTCCCCATTTCTACAAGTAATTTCTACATTTTTTTTTACAAAATAGGCAAATTTATTATTAAAAAGTTTAATCTTTGACTTTCTATCACATTTTGATAATCTTGTTCATAGTTGTGCAAAAAAAGAATTTTTTAAAGCTGCTTTGATCGTGTATTAAAAATTCCGAATTAAATTTAAAATACTTTCATTGTTTTTTGTATCGAATAATTCAATGAGACTATGATAGGTGCAACTTGTTTTTCTTCTTCTAAAACCACAAAGTTAATTATAATCACTTGTAATTTTCATAAATTTCAGTGAAGCGGGAAATAAACCATTCATCGCTTACCTATTATTTTCATGTTTTTACTTGGGGGGGGGGCTGGTTCTGTGTCACCTGAATACACAATCCATCTCCCAAGGTTGGCGCGTTTTATTTCGGATTTGTAAACACGCACTATGTTAGGTGCAAATATATCTTCCTATCCAATTTTTTTCTAAAATTTTTTTGCTCATGACTGGCAAATCAGTGATTCGATTTGTAGCATTTCTTTTTGTTTATACCCTTTTAACTGCTTTTGCTCAATAATATTTGAAGCATACGATCGTTTTAGCTGTGAGTGTTGACAAGTGATTCTAGAACATGAACACACTTTTCGGCGTTCAACAATTGCCATATTTCTTGACTTGAAGGCGGCCTTTGACTCCATGGATCGAAAGGTACTATGGCAATGTTTGACTGTGAAGGAAGTGCCAAGAAAGTGCATTGCACTAATCAAGGCACTCTATTCAAACTCACGTAGTCGTGTAAGGGCTTATGGGGAATTGTCATCTGAATTGGTAACATTCAGTGGTGTCCGACAGGGATGTCCACTTTCACCATTTCTGTTTAACTTCATCATAGATTTGCTGATGGAAGTATCCTTAACTGAACGTAGTGACTTAGGAATCGACTTGTTACCAGGGAATTGTCTTATGGACTTAGAATATGCAGATGACATAGTCCTGTTAGGGGAGGATGCTGACAAAATGCAGAGTCTTCTGAACACCTTGAGCAGCAATCTTCGTATGTTGGGCATGCGATTCGCCCCTACAAAATGTAAGATACTGCTACAGGACTGGACCACGTCAACTCCTAACTTAGTGATACGGAGTGAAGTGATAGAACATGTTGACCACTCCACCTACTTGGGAAGTTGTATCAGCACCAACGGACTGATTGGCGACGAAATCTCAGCACCCATCCAGAAAGCTCGAGCTGCTTTCGCCAACTTACACCATCTCTGGCGTAGGCGTGACATCCGGCTGTCAACCAAGGGACGTGTGTACTGCTCAGCAGTTCGCTCCGTCCTTCTCTATGGCTCTGAAACATGGCCAATACGAGTTGAAAACATGAAAAGGTTGACTGCTTTCGATCATAGATGTCTGCGATCTCTGTCTCACGTCAGGTGGTTTAATAAGGTAAGTAATGTTGACGTTAGGCATAGAGTGTTGGGCAAACAGGGAAAATTAATCGACAAGGCTATAGAGTTACATAGATTGAGATGGCTAGGTCACGTGCTGCGCATGCCTGACCATCGCCTCCCCCGACGGGCATTACTAGCTAATATAGAGTGCAGGTTGGAAAAGAGTAAGTGGTGGCCAAACAAAAACATGGCCTCATCAATCCATGAAATCCTTGACAGTTAAACTGAGTCGGTCAGGTAGGGAGATGCAGACTTCCGGGTTGGGGCCCTCGGGACTCTAGGAATCAATGGCTGGAGACAATAGGTGACATGGCTCAAAATCGCTGTCAATGGCGCAGATGTATTCAGTCTCTGTAATCTTTCATATTCCTTTCTACCATTACCCAATGTGTTTCACTCGTATACCTGTCAAACTCTATTGATTCTCTTCACTCATCTTCTTGTCTACCTTTGAGTGCTATTTGGAACGTGACAACTCGAACTGCCGCATTTCGGTGCCAAGTTCTACGTTGAATCCAGAAAGACACTGACGATTAATGTTGGAAATACACACATACTGACTTTTAAGATATGACATTAGAGTGGAAGTAAATTTTACTGAGAACTAGAGATCGTCTTGTCTCACATCGCTCATTTTCAGTGTTATTATTATTAAAAAACAAACTTGGTACATTATGGACGCCAAGAGAGTCGCCATACAAAATCTCATATTTTCTCATAGGGCTAGAGTACTGCCCATATGTACGTCCAGCCTGAAGCAGATAATTGTCTCAAGGGTTCACATTCCGGACCTTTAACTTGATTTCTGATCTACAAGGATGTGGAGCAGCGCCAGGAGCTACGTTCCCCAGGGTTTCCTTTGACAAAGTCAGGTTTATACGCCTTTCGAGCTTTTCAGATTACAGTGTGCACCATAGGTTTGCAATCAAGGTTTTCCAACTCCTTTAGGCTAGTATGTCTAATAGTCAGCTTGTAAGCACCAGATGTTCGCTTTTGTGAGGGGCACCCTTGCCGCGTCAACCCAGTGAATATGACTTATCCGGCAGAGGTTGTGATCGCAAGGTCACACGAAAGCACCCTCTGCTGTGCTGGGTCGTCTTTTGACCACGCCTGACTTTATGCAAACTAGACTGCTCCTTTAACTACTGAGCCGGAATCTAATGGGCCATTGTTTGGGGATTTAGTGGTACGTAATATAGCGTTACTATCATATAATGCTTCCTTGAATAACTCCTGACCTGGTTGGCCCTTACGTCTAACACTTACCAACAAACCTTTGGAAATTCATCAGTAGACACCTCACTTACTTGCATTGGATTACTATTTTCAACTGTAACTCTGAAGAATTGTAACGTAATTGCCTGGAATTACTGTTCTGATTTATTAACTGTATATTTAAGTGATGACTAGTCCCTTAATTTATATCATTTAAAACCGTAGGCTGTTCAAAAGTTTGCATTCCTTCGCGTTTGATGAAAATGGTAGTCATACTTCAAATCGCTTGTTTTTTATGATGTTAAAAACAGTGAGAATTTTACTAGAGGTTATTTTAAATTGCTTTCTGACTTATTCATTTGTGGTAGTACCTGCATCCGTGCTATTTAAATGAGAGCACTAACTTATATGATGTCGTTGAACGTGAGTACGAATGCTAATTACTATATGAATGCTTTATAATTTCCTGATCGATTATTCCTTGAACCGAGCTAGTACAATCCAGTAAGATTGGAACGTGTTTTATCAAAACAAGTGAGAGAAAAAGTGACCTAGAGTACAAAAATATATGGCATATACTGATCTAGTCATAAAGCCCTAATAGGAGGCACTACTAAGTGAATGCTGGATCCTGATTGGTTGACGCTCATCATTCCACAACATATAATTTGCTTTTTTATCTGACTAACAGACTAATGAGATTGATGGTTGATAAATATGAGACTAATGTGATAAATCGTGGTACAACTATCTCATTAACTCAGTTAAATTCAAATGACCTCAAATTTACCAGCTGTTTTTCTGACTTCACCAAACTGCCCACAAGTACACCGGCCTTATACATTTCTCTCATTTTTTGTATGACAGATTGATTGTATGTTTGTGTTACATTTGTGTTCCACAGAATAAAATTGTTCCGTAATCTATTTTAAAAAAATTAAATATTCCCATAGTAAAATTTAGAACTACACATTTAAAAGAACAATGTTGTTTTCAGTTAGATCTCGTCAGGTTTAACTCTAATGTACATAACTTTACAAATAAATATTAAAATATGAACCGATCATGGTTTTTTGTCAATAGGGTAATAAGATTGTGCAACTAGTCATAATAGTAATGGTTCTATCAGTAACAAGGATGATCAAGTGAGGCGATCTGTGATAAACAAGAATAACGAAAAACAGAATGATTAAACAAACATGATTCGAGCAGAACTAGTCGATAAAGACTAAGAAAGACAAATGAACCGATGAAGTAATGCTAGATTGTAAGGAAAGTAAATAAACTATGTTTACATGAAGATGTGATAAGATTAAGGGATGTTAAGACAGGGAATGAAAATATAAGTAAGGGGGGCTGGCTGGGTCTCAACAGGCCAAGGGAGGGATAACGACTGTACGAATTTCTTTCGAATGTGTAGATTAGGCTTAACAGTTCGGATAACTACCGCCTCAGCTACGTGCGTCTGTGGCACAGTGGTTAGGACTCTCGCCGACCATGCACATGGTCCGGGGTTCGAGCCCACGCCGACGCACACCTGATATCTATGGTCGGCCTGCGAATTTTGGGCTACCGATATCCGTGCTGAAAATTCCATACCTGTACCAAAAATACGGTGTGGAATCAAGCTGTAACCAAAAATAAATAAATATGAAGTCCACTGGAAAGATTCGGTAGAATGCAATGAATTACCTTGAGTGCTTTCGTTTTCTCCACTAAATGTGACAAAACGGAGCTACGGGTG